CTCTCTCAGTGAGTCCGGCTCCATGGGTCAGATTTGTCTGGCCGTTATGCCGACATCGTATTCCCGGTTTAGAATGCAACAATTGGAGCTATTGTTTTCCTTCAGACCATAAAACTACCTGCGACGCCATCAGGCGCATTTCGGCGTGGATGCACCGCATGATTCGCCAATGTCCCCCTTTCTCGCCGCGTCCCAAAATGGTCAGCTCCGGGCCCCCTCCCCCCCCCCTCAGGTCAGCTACGGTCGTCACGCCTCCGCGGTCCGGCTTAGCCGGCTATGCAGCGGCATATCTGCGGCGACAGCTTTGTCGCGGTCCTGACGCGACAGCCGCAATCATCACGGCATCGCCGACCGGCCGGCCTCCGCCACCCCGGTGGGGGGGGGGGGGGGAGGGGCACCAGCCCGGCCCACCGGGAAGGCCGTCCACCACCGCAAAGGTCGTGCAACCGCGAGGGGCGCAGAGGCCGCGACGGCGTGCGGCTCGGCGCCGACCAAATAACTCGCTCCCGACTCGGTAGTTTCGGCCGGCCGGTCCGGTCGGGTCCCGTCCGGTCCGTGCAAGCGGTCCTGTCCGTCTCCAGGATCACCTGGTCCTCTCGCTGGAATATGTAGTTGCGAAGAATTAAGGTCACCTGGAATGTTTTTTATGTTTGGTCAGAATGAGGAGAAAAATAACATTATGGATGAGTACTTCGACTTCAGCAAATAAATGACAACTGAAATGATACCCCTTAAACATTTTCTTCGGTCGTGACGCTACTAGCTAAAATGCTGTTATAACTGAAAACATTTCTACCATGGGAACTAAAACCCTGCTTCGACTGAAAGCACATATACTACGAATTAAAGCCTTGATACAACTGCAAACACTTCTTCTATCAACTGGAACACGGTTACGGCTGAAAGTACCACTTGAACCAATTAAAAAAAGATATCACTGCCGTGCTCTATCGTCCTATAGGGATCATGTTGAACGCAAAATATCAGAATTGTCGCGACGCGGAAAGTCAACTCCCATTAAAAGGAAATACACAGACCGATCCTCAGGATTAGCTGCAGCTTTTTACACAACTACTTGACCGTGACACATTTTGTTGGTAAACACAAACCCCCTCTACACCAAAGGTTGGTGGACAGTGCTGTCGTAGCGCCAGGCGCTCCCGTCTCGAGAGGTTAGTGGGCAGTGCTGTCGTGGCACCAGGTGCTCCCGTCTCGAGAGGGTTAGTGGACAGTGCTGCCGTGCCACCAGGTGCTCCCGTCTCAAAGGGTTAGTGGACAGTGCTGTCGTGGCACCAGGTGCTCCCGTCTCAAAGGGTTAGTGGACAGTGCTGTCGTGGCACCAGGTGCTCCCGTCTCGAGAGGTTAGTGGGCAGTGCTGCCGTGGCACCAGGTGCTCCCGTCTCGAGAGGTTAGTGGGCAATGCTGCCGTGGCACCAGGTGCTCCCGTCTCGAGAGGTTAGTGAGCAGTGCTGCCATGCCACCAGTCGCTCCCGTCTTCAGGCAGCGTTCGCCAGCGGTCAGCCGTCCGCGGTGGGGACGACTCCAGGCCATTTCCTCCACGACGGTCGAGAATCGAGGTGTCCGCCCACTGACGGCCCAGGCGATGTGTCGGGTGACGCCTTTGTCGTCATCGTTGAGGTGATCTGTACCTCATTACCTTTCGAGGGAAGACAGTGTCAACATAGCTTAAGTCTTGCAAAAATGGTCATGGCTACGACACGTCCAGCTGAGGTGCGCAGATGCCGGCCGGCTCGCAGCGCGGGGCTGACGCAACTCTGGAATTCTGAAGCGAGAGGAGCGGATTATACCGAATGGCACTGGCCATATGGGGGCCGAGCAGCGCGTAGGAGGACCGTGCGAAGCAAAAACGCGCCGCGTTGGTCAGTTTCTTTATGATTTCTTCCTTGAGTCGTGGCGGATTTACTCTGTGGTCCCGAGCCTGAGAACGAGACGTGAAACGGACTGTTGCATAACGCTCCTAATTGCGCTGAGTTCAACACAAGCTCGGTCTATGCATCTGCGCAACAATGGGCGAGGGCAGCGGATAGCACCCGTCAAGACACGTCACTCAAATAAGGGTCGACATCAAAACCCACTTGGCCTCGGTAATTCTGGCAAAATGACAGGACTGCATAACTTAACCAAGGCCGAAATGGACACCGAGCCAGCGCTGGTGCTAGACTAGGGCCGAAACGGTGAACGTTAGGAAGTACAGGCAAAGGTGCGGCCATGCTATGCTGCGCAGCGCTGCATATTACCGAGCGTGTTCACGAGCGCGGCAAGAACCTGCAGACGGATTTTACCGCGATGGGTCCCCGGAGGTCTTGTTCTGTTATCTCTGATTGGCGCTTAAGTGAAAAGAGAAGTTTCGATCGTTTAGGATCGATTTCAATGAAAACGACTCAGCGGCCGGTCGGTGCGAGGTAGCGTAAGTCCATCCCCGCACATGACGTACGTATCAGGCAGATCTACCGCACAACGCGTGATGACCCTTTCGCAACTGGGATTTGAGTCGGCTTAATAACACGAGCTGTGCGGATCTCGGGGACGAGCGCGTCACGTATTACAGCCATGAGCCTCGTGTACACCTTACGCTTGTGATCTCGGCAGATACGGGCGAAATACAGCTGCTTGCGTTGCAGCGCTGGATAAAAAGCGCTGGCGTGTCCGAGGAACTTTTTCCCGGAGTTAGCCCGGGCGACGGCCAAGTGAGCATGCCTGCACCGAGGGCGCACCTGCATGACAGTGTATGTGTTTACAGCGCTGATTGCATCGTAATAAGCTGCTTGGGGCACGCTACATCCCCTCTGCGATGCGAAGGGCATGTCCGCTAAGCAGATCCCCCGCCCGAGGCGTGCCGCGGGCAGGACACGCCGACCGTTCACCTCCGGTGCCCGCGCTGAAGGTCAGAGGACCTCCCCCGTCCGCATCGTGACGGCTCGCGGCGAGAGGAAGACGGTGTGCGTTAGCACGCCATCTTTAGAGAGGGGTCTTATTAGGCAGCTATCATGAGGAAAGTAGAGCAGCGTGGAGACTCGCCTTCCTATAAACCCTTCAAAATGAGTTTTGAACCCAAACTGAGCGGAGCAATAATGAAATTGATTTGGCTAACTTCAGTTCCCTTCTCACCAGATATTTCAAATTGGTGGCAATCCGGGATGATTCGCCGCAAAGTGCAGTAACGGGCGTTACGTCACACCTGTATGCGTGTGTGCGGACTACGCGGGACTCATTGTTCTGCAGACAGCGAATTACAGCTGTTCGCAATAGACGACCCGTGTCAGTGGCACTATCACAGGCCTGTTTTCCAGCCGACCTCATGGTTGAATCAAGTGTGTGCGTGTTCACGTGCAGACTTTTTCTCGAAATTTCAGGTCGAAATTGACTCCAGGCTCCCCGCGTTGTGAGTAGAGTTGCATTGTTGTGACATGTTAACTGCCATAACTGACTGGTGTGATAACTGATGTAACTGCTTACGCTGTCATGGTACAATGACGACATTGATCGCTTCAGCTACGCACACGGAGCTAAACACCTCATTGATCCGCGAATTACTGACGGAATTTTGCTATTTTGAAAGAACAGCGAGGCCGATTGAGTGACTACACCTGAACATGTTTTCTGCCCTGTAAAGGACAGGCCAAGATCAGCTTGTCAAAAACATAGCACAACTTTACCTTTGGCCGGTTTATGATGGCATCATGAGTTTTGTCAGTGATATCGATTTTGCCGCCTGATTTTTCCTTGCATTTACCATCGGATCAAACAGAAGCGATAATAAATCACAAATCAAATTAGGTCCAATAGGGACGACGATAGAGTCACCTCCGTCAAACGGAGGTGACGAGCACGGACATCGTCAAAACTGGAGAGCGATAACTAAATACCAGCGCAGATGAACTTGATCGGAATTCCTAGTGCGCGAATGTGCCCCCCCCCCCCTGGTGTTTGTGCATTAGTGCAAGGCATGCGGAAGTTCATTGGCGATCCATGAATGCAGCGCACGCCATGACAAGTGGTGTTCTCATGAGTGGTTAACTCCATGAACGCCTATTCCACTGACAGCAGTCCAGCCCATTGATAGAAACGCAGGCGTTGTGATCAGCGTGTTGGCTTGGGACCTCTAGTCAGTATTGAGGTGCGTGCTTCGAAGCATGATCCCATCAGCAGATGCTAGCTATGAGCCGCCCAGCCTCGGCAGGCACCGCACCTGCTGTGCGTGGATGTTTTGTGGTTGGGCGACCAGGCTCCCGTCCTTTTGAGGCTGGATTTAGTTATGCTCCTTTCGGAGCCGTCTAATCCTTCCAGCCGTTCCAATGCGCATGCCTGCATTAAAAGCACGCCGTCTGGTGATCGTCATCAATGCCTGCAAAGTTGCGACAGAAGGTGTCGCGTCAAGCATCAGGTATTAACCAGATCCCGTTGATGTGCTAGCTCTGGACATTGCCCAATGACCCTGGTAAAATTCTCTTGAAAATGCATCGGCACTGACCAGCACATGCTGCTTACTGCTGAAAAACTAATGTATCGCATGACCCGGCAGACTGAAGTTCAATTGCGCATTTCACATTCCCTGTCGCGCTTGCCGGAGGTTTGCAACGCCTTTGCCGTGGTCCCCAGCTGTTGCGTGTAATGACAACCGTGTCAACAATCGCTGCTGACAATGAGTTATAATGCTGTCTGTGCACTGACCCGGATCAGTCCTTGACAGACAGCTGACTACTGCGCATGGCGTGCTTATTGAACCGACCTGTCTAGTAGCGCTAGATGGGCATTTGTTTTCTGGACCATGACCGGTGATGCAGTTCCGTCACTGCGCAGTGTACGCATCGTCGCGCCCGCCCCAGCCCTAGATCATTACAGGTTTCAAACCACCACCTTCGAGCGTCCCTGTGGCTTGCACAACGTCAGAGCGTCCATTTTCACTCCTCTTTCGGATCTACAGGTGGAGTCGCCCAGAGAGCCTTCGTTATGTCTCGTACACGTCCAGGCATTCTCAATAAACTTGTCAAATGTTTATTATTTCTAAAATATTGGACACCATCAACACTTCGATGCGCCGCACACGATAAAACGCACGCGTCCCGTACGGGTGGCGCCATTACACTTTCCATAGAAGGCGAGACCGTACGTCCGCCAAATAGCCTACATGGATCTGACTAGCATGGTAAGCTAAAATGGAACACACTCACTCACGCGCATATCACGGCCATATTGCAGCTCACTGAAACTGACTTACACATTTGACAGCGAGCAGAGGTGCCACGTGGCTTCTCTGCGCGCCCAACAACAAACTCAGCATACCCTGATTAGTACGGAAGAGTCCACAGCGAGAAACACAATCAATAAGTTACACAATAACACTTAATCAATGACGATGGAAATAAGTTATGACGGCAGAGCGACGCGAGCGGGCGTTCGCCCTCAGTGCCTGCGCGGGCTGGCGCGGGTCGAGGCGGCGGCGGGTGCGCGCGCCGCGGGCGCCGGCGCCACCGCCTTCCCCATGAAGAGCGCCTTGGCGCGACCGACAGCTCCCGTACACACGTTCTCCCAGGGTCGCACTGGCTCGACGTTGAAGTCGTGCTCGTTGAAGCAGTCCCAGACGCGGTCGGTGAGCTGCGCCACGGACAGCCGCCGGTAGGAGAACTCGGTCTCCTCCCAGGACATGTCGCTCGTGCGGTCGCTGCTGGCCTCGGACGTGACGTCACTCACTTCGTCCTCAGCCGGGCTGGGCGTCAGCGCGTGCAACGTGACCTCCGTCGCGTTCAGCGGGTGGAGCGTGACCTCGGGCGGCGCCAGCGCGTGCAGCGTGACCTGCGTGACCTCTGGAGGGGTCAGCGGCCGCAGCGCGACCTCGGCCGGGGTCAGCTGGCGCACTCCGACCTCGGTGGACGGCGACGGCGGCTCGTTGTCGACGGGCGGCCGCGGCTCGGTCGGAAGCGCATTCTCGATTGTGTAGGCGCCGGTGATGGCGCCAGTGCGGCCGACGCGCACCGGCTCGAGGTTGCCGTTGTCGATGAGGCACGCCGGCTGCGGCGTCGGCGTCGGCACGGTGAACGGCAGGCTCGTCTCGTCGTCGGACGAGACCGGACTGCTGAAACCGCTGTCCTTGTCGTCGGCGCGCAGGTCGGGCACGGTCAGTGGCGCGCTCGGCGCCGCAGGGCTCGACAGCCAAGGGTGCTCCAGGCAGCTGTGAATTGTGCGTCGTCCACTGGAAAGGAACGCGGCGAGCGTTAACGACAGATTGCCGCAGCCTCACATCGCCACTAAGAGCTCCGAGCACACAAACAACGCGAGCCCAGAGCGACGGCACGTCGTGTCAGTGCGATAGCATGCGGGTAATGAGACGCCAGCAGATAGTCACTGGAGGTCGAACGGCGTCTGTTTTCTGTCGCGTCAGACAAGGGACGTTCCATTGCGGGGAGTGGTATAAGCTTCACTTAGGGCCGCCAGCATGCCGCAGGCATACCGGAGAGGGGAAGGGGAGGGGCTGGCGCTGACGTCACGCTACAAGTCGTCAATCAGGACGAGTTGGTGCCCGGGACCAGCTAACAGAAACGGCACATGCAACGGCTTCGCCTTTCCAAAGCCCTTGGACGGGATCCGAAAGCAGCACCGGTTCTTCGAGACGTCTCGTGTTTGGGAATGTATGATGCATCCTTTGGTGACACATTGTCTCATGCGTTATGCATCAGCCATGCTAGCGACGCGCGCGTCCCCATACGACGGCGAAGTATGCCACTCAGACATACCAGCAAAGCGCACCGCCTCGAACGCGGAGACGAGTCAAAGCCGTTCTGTGGCTGATCTGGATTTTGCCCGGCTCCGCGCGGCCTTGGGCGGGATGTTTTACACGGTGCCGTGTTTGGTGCGTGGGCCCGCCGTGTTCGCCTCAGTCGGGCCGGCCTCAGTCCGTCGGCGCGCCAGGCTCGCCGCGGGTGTTTTTAGCGCGGCGCCTGCTGTCCCCCGAGACGGTGCGTTCCACGCCACGTCATCAGCGATAACCGCAAATGGCGCACGGCTCATGGGTAAAAGATACGGCCTGCGCCAAATATGGCGCAGCTGGCTCCAGCCTGGCGGCGAGCCGACGGCTTAGCATCAGCTTTTGGAGGCGGTCGGCGGCCAACGGCGGGCGGTTTTTAACTGCGGCCAACATGGCACGCTGAACAAAGGTGCTGGCGAGCGGGGCCCCCGCGGTCACGCGTCCGTCCACGCGCCACCGCTGGCACCTGGACACAGCGGCGGTCCGGGCGTTGGGTACTGGGGCCGGAGCAATAACCGAGGCCAGCTAGAGAATGGTGAGGACAAGGCAGACCTGCTGCTGGCACGACCCAGCCCGACTGCTGCCAGCGTTTCCGAATCGCTGGGACAGAGAGGGAAGTGATACCGTAAGCAGCCAGACTTCTGCTCATCGTCACGCGCGGCTTACATGTAAACAAGCCGCCTAAAGCGCGTTTGATGTATCGGTCGGCGAGGGTTGCCGGGCGCGGGCGGCCCACAAGCGGTCAGCCCCGGACCTGGTCAATGTCATGCATCAGGACAGTCGGGCAGGCCGCTTTTGCAAGCGGCGCTATCGGTCGACGGCGCCGGCGCGCGTCCTCGCCGCATGACAAACCACTGAACCCCCCCCCTCCCCCCCGGTCGCCAGGCGGAGCAGGACCGGCCGTGCTGGGGGGACGGATCACGACAGGTTCACAGGCCCGCGTAAGCCGCTGAGTCATGAGCTCACGACGGCTGGGCACGCCGGCACGGCCGGCTCGTCCATGGCCGGTGGCTGCGTCTCCATGGCGGCCGCCGACGTCTCCAGCTGAGGCTAATTGGGTCAGGGTGGTAGCTGGGCCGCCGCGTGGGTGGTGTGCCTGCGGGCCGCTCGTCACACGCGGTAGCTACCTCGGGTTTTTGACGAGCAGGCCCGAGATGAAGTTCTTGGCTGTGTCGCTGATGTCGATAAACAGGTCGTCGGGAAAATCGACCTCCTCTGAAGTGATGTTGCAGTAGGTCTCCTGGACGGTGGAGCCGGTGAACGGGGAATAGCCGGTCAGCAGGGCGTAGGTCAGCACGCCGATCGACCTGGGGAGGCGGAAACACGGGTCAACGAGGGTCAAACACGGGTCAAACACGGGTCAACGAGGGCCCACCAGCCAAAGCACGGCCGCCACTGCAGGCGGAGAACACGCCTCAAATGCTTTGCCGTACTGACACAACTCAGTGACAACTCAGGCCGTTACTGGCCTTAAACATCCGACCACTAATCAACAATGCATTAGAGAATTGAGGCCCAAATCAACCTCGATCCAGAACCCTGATTCGCCGGCCACCCCGGATCCGTCGCCTCCCCCGCGGCTCTGTGCCTCTCGCGGTGGCGGCGTTCCCGGCGCAGCTTTGGCCGGCGGGCCGTATCGGGAGGCGGCGGCCCGGCCGCCTTGTTTTGGCCGCGCCGGCGCCGGCTCGGATGGCGGCCGGCGCGGACGTGGGCCTATTGTGTGCGCCGCGTCTGGCCGCGGCGCCGGCCGCCGCCGACATAAATTACCGCCCGCATTCTGGCATATTGTGTTACGCGCAGAGAAAGCGGCGGCGCGGCCGGCCGGGCGCATTGTGCCGCGGAGGCGCGCACGGCGACCGCCGCGGCCGGCCCGATCTCACCCGTGATGCATCGGCGTCCGGGTGCGGCGGGATCGCACGCACGCGGACTGGTCACGGGTCAGCACGCGCCCGCGCCCGCCGCGCCGGCCTCGTTCCGGGTGGGCGCCGGGGTCGGGGAGGGCGCCGGCTGCCCGGCCGGGTTCGGCGCCGCCTCGGCGACAGTGTCGGGGACCGGGGTCGGCTAGCGGGTCTAGTGCCGCGACAGAGTCGGGACAAAGCACCTCGGCGGGTGTGAATGAGCTGATCTGTGGCGGCGCAGCGGAGGAGGAGCGCTGGACGGCGGCAGCTGGGCGCCGGGGTCGTCCCTCGACCCGACCAGGGCGCCCCGGCCGGCCCGGCCGACCGTGCAGCGGCCCGTGACTCAGCCGCGGCTGCGGCCGCCGCCGCCGCCGCCGCTGGCGTGTTTATACAGCGCCGCCGAGAATGCCGGGAGGGGAGCGGCAGCAGCTGACGTCCCCCCCCCCCGCCCCGGCTCCCTCCCGCCCCCGCCCCCTCCCCTGCCGAGACGCCGACCGGAAGAGGTCGGCCGCCGCGCCGCGCCCCGAGGCTGTTGTGCCGTCACCGTCGCTACTCACCACATGTCGGTGGCCAGTGACAGCGGCTCATAGTTGAGGATCTCCGGCGCTGAAAGACGAGCAGCAGATGTAGACGGATGCACGGAAATAAATCGCGCGCCGTCGGCGGCCGGCGCCAGAGCGGCGCCGCGAGTTCGATGATTGGCCGCGTGAGCGCACGTGGAATGTGCGCCGGTCGCTGGCGCGCGGCCTTGCCGGCCCGTCACCCATTGCGCCATCGTGAACGAATGGGGCGCCGGGGTGGCGCCCGCCGCCGCAACGAGCCGCTCATTTAAATACACTCACAAAGGGTTGCAGCGGGACCTTCGCACGCGCCGGACGGCGCCGATCAGTTCGTGCAATGCCAGTGGCACGAGGAAGCAGCGCGGCCAGACTCAGCATCAGCTGTGATGATGGGCTGGCGAGGGCCAGCCACACACAGCAGGGCCATGGGCGCATGCACAATTCAAGCGCACGCTTTCAGCCACAGAAACCGGTTTCGCAAACAATTGCGCATTCTGACCGTCCGCCCGTGAATCGGCTGGAATGACTCCACGGTCGGCCCGGTGGCAGCACCAGGGGTGGCCCACGCCGCGGCCGCGGTCGCGCTGTGGTCTCGACTTACCCATGTAGTCTGCCGTGCCCATGATCTCGCGCAGCTCGCCGGCGCCGTACACCTGGCGCGATATGCCGAAGTCGCAGAGCTTCACGTCGCAGGAGGGGAACGGCCCGGTGAGCAGCAGGTTCTGGGGCTGGAACAGGCAGAGCCGCCGTCAGCCGGCGCCGTCTAGCGCGGTCTCCATTCCCGATCACAAAGCCGGCGACGAGCCATGTCAGAGCGTGCTGTGCGCTCCAGCGATCGCCGCTTAAGAAGGCAGACAGAGAAGTCTATCCTCCTTCTATTGCTACGCTCGTTTTGGAGGGTCACCGACATCGGCTGTTTCAAATTGATCTGGTTATGCCGATAGCTATGTTTTGTAATGAAAAATATTCCTGGATACTAATTTATCAATGTGATCTGGAAATGTCACTGGCTCGGATTTAGTGATAAGTTTTATTCCCCATATGTAGAAGCCACAAGCATGCGGGGAAACCAAACGGGTCGACATATCTGGAAAGAAGCAGAATGATAGGACTTTCGTCAGCTTCTCGCGGAACGAGCGAAGCGACAGCTACCAAAACATTCCTAGGGAGTTTAACTTGCGTAACACCCGAAAACGTAAGACCGCGTGTGATTTCCAGATGTGAAAAACCGGCCACAGAGGCCAGGTTCTGAAAGCAAACTACAACTAAGGTGATTTTAAGTCGCTTCGAAAGGACGCATGGGCATGGAACACGACGCATTGGCGCTGATTTCTACACCAGTGAGGAACAACGCGAGTAGGTGAAAAACTAATTGCATTTTGTACACAAATGACAAGCGAATTTCAAACATAAAAAGCGGTTCAAATTCTGGTGAAATATAAACGGATTGCCTCCATTCCCGTTAGCCTTGACACTGCCGTTGAGCCAGCCAACGCCTTCAACGAGTTAGAGATTTTTGGTTAGATGCGTAACAACCTCAGATTAGCGCTGCGTAGGTGATCGTCGAGGTGGCCTACTGATAAGGGGAAGTTTACCAGTGTCACAGGACGTGGAGTTTTGTGCATCTATTGTCTGTTTTCCCAGGGTGCGGTCGGGTCCCGTCTGTCCCCTCAGCGCAGCGGAACCAGCGCATCGCCCCACGTGCGGCGGAGCCTAATGCGCCTTCGAAAGACAGTGAAACGCAGAACGTCCCATCCTGGAACAGTGGAGCCCAGCACGTCCCATCTGGGTACAATGAATCCCAGCACGCCTGCCCGGGCCAGCACAGCTCGTCGGCGAACAGTGAAGTCCGGTCGGCCAGCTGTTGAGAGGGTGGACGCTGCGCCAACTTTCCCCGCCGAGACGGCACTGGGGTTTCACTTTCCAGGGGCCATCATCGGCGGCGAGTCGTCTGCGGTGGCCCCGGCCGGCCACCGCAGACGACTCGGCCCAGTCAGCTGATGATCGCTGCTAGCCACGTCGGCGGGCTTTCGCCGCAGCTAGTTCCCCGGCGCCGGCGCCTGGCGGCAAAACTCAGGCGCCGATAGAACAGGTGTGGCAGCGGCGCCGCCGCGCCAGGACCAGTATGGTTGTATGTTCACCATGCGAGGGGAGGGGAGTATGCTCGTACAATTAGCGGGGTCCCGTGTGCAGCTTTAGGGAACGCGTCTGCCTGTTAAATAAGGTGCGGTGGATGGAATCGAACGACACTTCGGAGCAAGACGTGACCCGAGACAAATACTCACGCAGTGAAACGGGGAGGGAAAGAGTGAATGACTGGAGAGAAAAGGACAGATAATTAAAGGTCACATTAAGGAGGAAGGCTGCATTTCTGGGCCAGTTTCTCCCGTCCACTCGAACAAGCCCGGATCTCAAGTCCACCCCACCCCACGCAAGCCACTGGGCTCGGTCACAGATCGAGTGCCACTTGATCCCCTTCTGCGACCCGGCCGCCAGCTGTGAAGCACCGCCCCCGAGCCAGGCCGTCCTTGGGAGGTCAGCGTGGAGCCCGGTGGCCGGCCGCGCTCCCGATGGCGGGACAAGGGTCGGAGCAGCTGCCGTCACGGCCCGGCAGGTCCGGCCGGCGACCTTGGCGGCGCGTGACCAGCTCGTCGTGGCCGATGACGCGGCAGACGCCGCTCCGCGCGGGCGGGCGCGACGGCGAGGGCAGGGGCGGCCGGCGCAACCGACTGCGACCCGCGCGTGAGGAGCGCTGAGTCCGTCCACGAGAGGATGCGGAGGGAGGGGGAGGGGCTCGGCTCCCGCGGCTTCCCGTCTGCACGACGGTAGCTGCAGTCGCCCTAAAGGGGTCCGCCCTAGTCCTGCCTGACGGCGGAGGGGGGTCCCGCCCACGCCGGTGGCTGATGTTGACCTGCAGCCGTAGGGAGGGACCCACCCTAGTCCTGTCAGAAGGGGGGGGGGGGCACCGCCCACGTGGGTGGCTGATGTTGACCGAGGGGACAGGGATGGGCAGGAATGCACCACCAGTTATCCGATACAACGGTCATGTGATTCCAGACATGCACACAACACTGTATGTACCGACCCCGATTGGAGTGGATGCACAGGTATCTGGCATCCACTTGTCCAATGTGGAGAAACCTGCAGCTGCACAGCCTCGTTGACTATGGATTATCGGGTCCAAGCCTTCGACTAAAGCGTATTGACAAAGATAATTTCCGAGGTCGGTCACCAAGTCCAAGCATTTTATCATGAGTTTGCATTTACATATACATGGAACAGACCCCAATCTTAAAGTAGCTTCTCGTTTGTCTCGATCCCAATCATGTCTGGCGACAAACAGTAACGAATTCCGCGACGGCTGGGAATTCGCGTGCACCAGGTAACGTCGCTATCACATGCACGTTCAGAAATCTCCATCGGTTTTGTTTGCGATCGGTTCCGATAAGATTTAAGTTTGCGTTGCTGCGTCATCTCTCGTTGGCTCAGCGCGCTTGGCGCATGACTAGTGCACCAGTGAGGTGCATGAGGTGGCGAGGAAGGCTCTTAAGCAAGAGCTAAGTACCGGCTTTTACCTTGATATCAAGGTGAGCAATGTTGTTATCGTGCAGCTGGTGCAGTCCTTCCAGTATCTGTCGCATTAATCTGATAACTTGGTCTTCTCTGATAAAGTCCTCCACATCCAGAAGTGTCTGCATCTCGCCTCCCGTGGCTCTGCGGAGACAAAACAACACTACATCAGATGTTGTCTCTCGGTACGCGTGGGTGACGCAGGCATCGACGTCACTATATTTTCATGGAAAATAGGCTGGACCCAGACGGCGGAAGGGTGGATGGCAGGCGGGAAAAAAACACGGAAAAACGCAAGCACAAAGCTCGTAATGCATGAAGTTAAACTTCGTCCCAACTGACATCTGTCCACGCTGGTCCACAATCTAGAAGCGACAAGCAGGCCGACCGGCAGACACGCAGGCGATTCGATGGACGCACAGTGGGTGTGTACGACACGGGATTCCCAGACAGCCACCGGACAGCACTCAAGACAGCCACCAGACGGAGATCAGACAGGCACTGGACAGTGCTCAGACAGCCACAAGACGGAGCTCAGACAGCCACCGGACAGCGCTCAGACAGCTACCAGACGGAGCTCAAACAGAGCGCCGGTGCGCCGCGCCGGGTCTGGTCGGGCTCGTCTCGCCCGGCGGCGCCCCGCCGGGATAACGGTGCCCGGTGGCCGCTGCCGCCTCGCCTGTTGCAGGCCCGGCCGTCGGTTCATGACCCAGAACTGTCGAACGGGCGGCAGCTGCGGCGGCGGCGGCGGCGGCGGCGCTCGCGGTCATTAGCTCCTCATTGCAGCTGCAGGTTGCGGCGCGGCTGGCGCGCGCACGCGGGTCGTGGTAATCGGGCTAACGCCTTCTGAGTGCCGGCGATCAACAGTGCGCGGAGCGAGTGGAGGCCGGCTGGAGCCGCTTCACGGAGCAGGGGACCGTGCGGAGGAGAGACGTATTGAGGCCAACAGACGGCAGTTGATCCTTTGCGAGGCAGGCGTGTCGCCCATCTTCCGGGTTTCATGACGATCTCTCTAAGCTGCTGGCAATGTAACGCGTGTTTGTCAATGTGGCAAGTTCGCCATTCAGTCAATTTCCTTTTGCGTCCTTTGCACATTTCCTGGCAGAATGCATCATCTTTCTGCTTCTACCAGCGATCCGGAGGCTGGGCCTGCGCCAACGCTCACAGGGCAGCGGCGACCGTCCGAGCGTGTCGAGCCCGAGCCGCCGACCCAATCAGTTCACGGCTAATTAGCTGCCGGTCCGGCTACCGCAAACAACACACCGTTAGCCGGGCCCCGGCCGGCTGCCGAACAGACGCCGATAACGCGGCTGCACGCGGCTCCGACGACCGCCGCCCGGCCGCGGCACGCCGGGTCCCCTCACGCTGCCCCGACGGCCGCCCGGCCCGGCGACGAACACCGCGCTGCAAAAGTCTGCCGTGTGTGTGGGCTCCAGGCGAGGCTCTTGCGGTCAGTTTCACTGGGAGGCGCTCGCCTCCTCGGAGTATCAGGTGTTGGCCGCGGCCGAGCTTCCCGGGCTTGGACGGACGATCGCGGGAAACTCTGATGTCGCTCCGAGCGTTCTGAGGCAAGTGGCATGACGCCGGCTGGCGACAGCCCTTAGAGGATGCCAGCAGGAAGACAAGGGCATGCAAGCCAGTGAGTCTTCCCGATCTCTTGCGGCGAATTAACCTCCCGTTTTGTATGCCAATATCGGCGCTTACCTTGCTGCTGACATTCACCTACATTCCAAGGCTCGAAATGTAGCGACCTCAACGACAATTATGAAGAACAATGGCCTAGCGAACGGGCTTTTACCGGGAACTATCCGGAACCTTTATCTACAAACCGTGCAATCAAGATAGCTGTTCCGGCCTTTGAGTTTGAAAAAGCTGCAGCGAAAGAGTAGATTTACAGATAGGTGAATGACCCAGTCTAGCCGTTCTCGATGATCACAGCCGCCAGCGGGCCGAGGGAGGGCTCCAGGCCCGGCGCCGGCTTCGGGGCGCGGTCCTCCCGCCGAGCCGCCCTTCCACTCGTCCTGCCCGCGGTCCCGTCCTCCCCGGCGGCGCCGCATTCCCGGCAGGTTAACAAGGCCGAGTCACGGGCGTCCGGTTCCCAGGCAGCGTGCGGCGCCGCTGCACGGCTGCCGACCGCCTGGCATTCCGGCGCGCCAGGTCAACGGCTGCACCGCGGCCACAGGACGTGCCCCGACCGCCGGCCTGGCCGCGCGCCTCCGCCGGCCGTCGGCGCGGCGCAGCACGGCACGGCACGAGGCGCACGGCACGGCACGAGGCGCACGGCAGTCTCAGGCATGTGCAAAGCGCAGACTCAGGACGGGAAAGGTCAAACACTTCCATGGAGCATCAGACGCGGGCCCAGTCAAAAACCTCACAGCATAAGATCGCGGCGCTCCGCCGATGCCTCCACCGCACAGCCTACAGGACGGTTAAGGCACACTACTAACACGTTCACAGCACGGTGCGACACGTCCGCGACGAATCTGAACGACGTGCCAGGCGCCGGCATGACACCGCGTCCCTGCACGGTCGTCACACAGCTCGGGTCGGGGTTTCGTCCGGTCATGGCGCATTTTCAGAGGGTGTCCCAGAACCCGGGGAGGCCGAGATTACAGCGACACCAACCGCATAGGAAAGCACTGTACTCACAGTTCCAGAACGAGTATGATTTCCGTGTTGGTCTCATAGACTTCGTGCAGCTGGACGATGCGGTTGCAGTCGGCGAAGGTGTCCAGAACGGCGATCTCGTGGTAGATATCTGTGAGCCGCCTCCTCTTGCGCAGAACCTTGGCGGCGAATCTTTGTCCTGTCAGTTTGTGTGTGCATTTGCGGACGGAGGCAAACTGGCCCCTGGAACGGCAGATAAACTCGGATTATTTCGTGAAATGTGCCACTCATCCCGATGACAAACTGGAGACACCATTTCGCCCGTGCATAAATAAATTAATGTTTATTCGGCTTGATTAATCGATTGAGTTTGCAAGTTCACCGAGACGACCAGTGCCGCACCCAGCCGCGAACTGTGAATCAGCAGGGAGCGGGATGACTGAATAGCCGATCGGCCACACCCCTCGGCGCTGCAGCCGACTGACTGGAGCTGCCCAGACGACCGTGTCAAGGACGAGAGCGAGCCTTGTGTCGGCCCGGCCAACCACTTTGGCGGCAACCCCGGCGGCGGTGGGACGGATGCTCCCGGCGCCAAGTGACGGATGGCGCCGCGTAACGCTGTGACGACGACCGGCGCCACTCGTATGGGAGAGTCATGACCGACAACGGACCATGCGACGACGCGACAGCAGCCGCCACCTCCATTACGGAGGTCACATGTCTGCCACGTGACAGCCGGCTGCTGGCAGCGGCGCGGCGGTGACCAGCGTCACTATTACGGGTACGACACGCCAACCGTGACGGATGGTCCCTCGCGGCAGCGTGACAGTGACCAGCGACACTATTACGGCAGCGACATGGCGCCTGAGACGCCTCCGCCGGGCGGCGCCGGGCGGCGCGTGCCAACACGGCTGCCTGTCGGCGGCGCACCGAGCTCCGATCCATTGCATGGACCGTGTCGCCGGGCGCCGCCGTCGGCCGGGCGCCGCCGCCACACTGGAATTCGCCCGTCAGCAGCGGTGTCGCCGATGGCGAGGCGCCGCCGGTCGGTCAGGTGGGGCCGGCCGGCATGCCGTCAGAGGTGCAGTGCGGCAGTGGCGGGACAATCGCCGGATGGTGTGAGTTCTGCCCGCACCCGCGGCTGCGCAGATACCTCGGCAGATGGCGAAAGCGTGGCCGACCGGCCGGCACGACGAGCGTGGTGTGGGGCCCACGTTAGCGCGGTAGTGGGGCTCACGTTAGCGCGATCTCTGCGATGGCGTGGGGCTCACGTTAGCGCGATCTCCGCGATGGCGTGGGGCTCACGTTAGCGCGGTCTCCGCGATGGTGTGGGGCTCGCGTTAGCGCGGCCCCCGCGCTAAAACGCGGAGCCACTGCGGAGCCGAGCGGTCGCCGGTCGAACGCCGGCTGCCGGTGCACGTCTGCAGACACTGGGCAAACTGATACCAGCCATGCCTCTTCAGTCGGCTACGAGCTAAGCAATCGAAACACACCCTTCAACCGTCCACCAAAACCGACAGCCATCTGCCCTGCCGCGGCGTCCGTCCTATCGCCGGCGTCGTGCAAACAGGACGCGGCCTTGGCTGGGGAGCAGCTACGAAAAACGCGCAATCAAACGGCAGGGAAAAACGGCACAGCTATCGCGGACGAGAGCGACAGCATATTTGCGAAGACAGCGTTGTCGAACCGTCGCAGTTGCGGCGCTAGCCGGGCGGCGGCGGGCGCCGCGGGTCGAGAGGTCGTGCCGGCCGCCGCGTTCGGGTGCTGTGGCCCCGATCCTGACAATGCGAGCCGGGAGGGCGGGTCGGGTCAGCGCAGGGCGCGCGGCCGGCCGCACGAAAGCGACCTACTAACGCGCCGGCACTGTGTAAATAGCGACGGCGGCAGGCTGCGGCCGGATGTGTCGCGGCTTCGCGAGCGGCAGCAGAGTGGGTGGCGCGCGCCGGCGCCGGCGCAGCCCCGCCGGCCGGGCCTGATTCCACCAGCCGCCGCCGCCGGCTCCGCTCCGGGCCTCCGTCCGCCGCACGCGCCTGACAACCGGCGAAACCCTGCGGTGGCTGAAGGAGGCACTAAACCCGCCGCTCAGCCCGGAGGTGGCCTCTTCTGTCGCGGCGTGGGCGAGAGAAATGAAATCGGAGGAAGGCGTGCGGACGACGGAACCGTGCCGGAGCACGGCGAGGTTAACTTTCCATCGGCTCTGCCGCCGAGCGCACCGTTAATCCAGTTTGAGCCAGGGAGGCGGCGTCGGGTGCTTTTTGCTCTGCTCGGGCACCGGTCATATTTCCAGTTGACCCGAGCGTGGAGGGTTAACTCACGCCGAGCCCAAAAAACGCCGACCAGCAGCGGCGGCGTGCACGTCTCGGCGGTCATGGGAGCCTCCGCTAACGGACCTGGTGGCGGCGCGCCGCGGCGCCGGTGACGCCGCGACGGCGGCCGGCGGCGCCGGTCCCGGCGCTGGTGGTGGCGGTTCCTCGCAAACGCAGCTGACAGGACTGCGACGACGGTGGCGGCGCCGCCCGGCTGTTCTCCGGTATTGCGAGACGGACGTCAAGCGCTGACGATGTCCGGGAATGCGGCGGGCACCGCGCGCTCGTGCCCCCACCCCGACAAGAGCTGACAGCGATGTCAGGGGGCGAGGCGGACACCGCGCGCCCGTTGCGAAAGCCCGGCTTCGCCCGCGCAATGGCACCGACAAAAACAGCGTGTGTGTCTGCGGTAGCGAGCACTGTCTTCCGGCGGATTGGCAAATGACTTACAAAAACGGGGACTGGCGTCGGCGGCGGCACCGGCCGACCCGCCTGGACCTCCCGGAGCCGGCGCGTCAGATCGGAGGGCGATCCATCAAGGCGCGACACGCCCGGAGCTGCGGCGCCTCGGCTGGCGCCCGCGCGTTTGATACTGCTCCGATTACCGCAGCGGGAAGTGGCGCCCTTCCGACCGGCGCGTCCTCGCCCCTGCCAGCGCCGGCGGCCCGGCCGTCGACGAGGCCTGCTGCGGCAGGCGGCCGCCAGCTCAGTTTTGCCGCTCCTCTTCCGGCGGATGGGAGCGGAACGCGCCGGGCACAGAGCTGACAAAGTCTGTCGATGCCTTAGCGATCGTTGAAAAAAAAGCTCACGCGAAAGAACTTTTGCATGGCGTCAGAGAAAAATCAAAGGAATAGAGTTTGACGCTAACAGAATGTTTATGCCCGCCTTTGCTTTGAATCTCGCTGGAAAATGAACACAGACAGGATAATAATGCATATTGCGCGATAATCGGCCTACGTTCCCCGGCTGCAAACCCGAGGCTGTGCCACCCGGATTGGCAGGCTAGCGTGCTGCCTCCCCACGCTCGGCGCCGGCCCCCCGCGCGGGGCGCGTAGGAGGCCGCCGCGGGCTGAAGGGCGGAGGGCCGCGCGGGCGCCGCGCTGTCAGGCTCGAGTCCCGATCAAGGGCGGGCGGTCACGGCACCCCGACCGACCCCGGCCGACACCGGAGACCCGCGGCTGCGAGCGCGCCGCCCTACACTACGCTCGACAGCGGGCGGTGGCTGGGGGCTGACCGGCTCGGGGCCGGGCTGCCGCTTCCCGGCGTTTGTCTGCGGGCTCGGCTCGGCACCCGACCGTCCCGCGTGACTTCCACGCCGCCTCCGACCGAGCGGGTCAGGGCAGGTCGCGGTCAACGGACGGGGTGACGCCCCGCTGCAAGCACAGTCCAGACAGAGCCAATCCCTCTGTAACGACTGTCCACCAGCGCTGCGCCAGGCGGCCCGGTCCACACGACTGCCGTTGACGTGTGCCGGCGAGTGCGTGCCGAGCGCGTGCCGGCCGTCATGCTCCGTGGCCGGCAGGTGCGTGGGTGCAGCCTGTCGCGGCGGCGGGGGAGGGGCTGCCGCCTCCGTCGGCGCCGCCTGGCGGACGCGTCGCCGCCAGCCGCTGCGTGCCTTTGCAAGGCTGCCGCGCCGCGAGAGGAAGCGTAAACACGCGCCCGAACGAGCCGACGCCGCTTTCTAATCCGCTCGCAGCGGCCGCGGCCGGCGCTTCCCCGCGCCTCCCGGCGCGACCCCGGCGCGGCTCGGGCACGGCCGCCGACCAACGTCAGAAAACGCGGGCGCTATCGGAGTCAGTTCCGGCGGTGGGCTTCCCGCACGCCGTTTCCGTTCGGAGCCGGACGCGTTGCCGACGCCGGACGGATCACCACCCTCGCAGACCGGATCCTCCCCCGATAGCGTGCCGGGACCCTGACGGCCTGGGCCGGAGCCGGACAGGGCCGCGCGCGGCGGTGTCGGCCGCGGAATCCGCCGCCGCGCTCTCGGTGCACTCAGAGCGCTCCCCGCTCCCACCGACTCCCTCTCCAACTGACCCCCCACCTCAGCTGCTTCCATGTTCCCGCTGCATCCCGCTCCAACTGACTCCCACTCTGCCGCCCGCTGATCACTCCCGCCGACCGAGCTCCCGTGTGGGCTGCTCGGGAGCTCGGTCGCTGGTCGGAACCGGAGCTCGTCAGGTCCCGCCGTCCTCGCCCCGCGGCCGCCCGCTACGGCTCGCGGCCACCAGCGCCCGAGGCCCAGCCGCCGCCCACAAACTGTGCACAATCGGCGCATTGATGCATTGCCGCAATTAAATTCGCCGCGGCGGGATGCGGGCGAGCGACAATCAGCGTCAATGGCACAACTGGGTCAGCGCGGGCGGGCGGCCGAGCGGCCGGGCCGGGTCGGGCGCGGCACCCAGCTACCACGCGAGTCGGGCCCACAGCGTCGACAGCTGACCCCGAAAAAGTGAAACTCGGCAGTTATTACGCATTACTCAGCATTAGCATGAGATTGGTGGGAGGCGGCGTCAATAAAGGTAAATCATGTCCACGCGCAATGGTACACAAAACAGCCAGCGGCTTATATCGGCCCGGCTCGGCTCGTGCTCGGCTCGGCTCGGCTCGGCTCGGCTCGGCTCGGCTCGGCTCGGCTCGGCTCGGCTCGGCTCGGCTCGGCTTAGCTTGGCATGGCCCGGCATGGCCCGGCTCGGCTCGGCTCGGCTCGGCTCGACTCAGCTCGGCTCGGCTCGGCATGGCTCGGCTTAGCTCGGCATGGCCCGGCATGGCCCGGCCCGGCATGGCCCGGCTCGGCTCGTCTCAGTTCGGCTCGGCTCAGCTCGGCATGGCTCGGCTTAGCTCGGCATGGCCCGGCATGGCCCGGTCCGGCTCGGCTCGGCTCGGCATGGCCCGGTTCGGCTCAGCTGTATACCGTGTCGGCGGACCGGCACGACGCCT